AGTGCCAAAGCATAAAACAGACATCTATTCAAATTGAACTAAACGAAGTCACAATTAAAAGATTGGAAAAAAACTTTACCACATGCAGCATTCTGACATTCATTGTCGAGCTGTGGCATTTCTTGCTTGGTGGTCTGAAAACCATGGATGTATTTCGAGACTTATTTTTGAAATAAACACACATGGGATGTCTCTTCACTAACCCAAGTTAATACCGAAGTCGGCAATGTTTCTGTCATGCAGGATTGCTAATTTCAAAAACACAATATTACATATGCATTCTAAATTATATTACAGTAACAGCATTTTTCGCCAGGATTAATAAAACGAAAGAAATCCCTTCACAATCTAGTTTCATCAGACGACTTCACAAAAATTTCCTGTCCCCACCCTGTCAACCCATTACAACAGTCAATCTAATTTTAGACACAATGATATAGTGGATATCAAAAGCTTAACAAACTTGAAGACAGCTTTTTAGGCCCCTCCACAGTCCAGAAATCTTACTTTCGAAAGCAGCCGCTGAATTTCATCCTTTCTATCCAACAGTGATCCCTGATTGTCATCGCTACTTTTCGGAAGTAATACACATGGTTTCCCAGTATCTTCATCATTGCTGTTACTGTTATCTGTAGAAACACTAGAATCATTCGAGAGACCATCGACGGCTGGCGACTGCAAGGGAAAAAAAGTAAAAGTACAAATATGTTGGGAAATCACTTTAAACAGAGTCCATTAAACTCATGACAAAGCAATCCAAGCTACAATCTCGTATCTTTTTCATCTTTTCCTTTATGTCGCTGTTTATATATCTAATCAGAACTGTATCAAATATCCCTGTTTTCATTGACTCCGTAAGTTTGTTCTAAGCATTTCCATAATCGCTTCCTTCTTTCACTGACTTAGTAATGGAAACTCTTTACTATAAAAATAAAAAGCCCACGACATACCAAACGTGGCGGTGTTTCGCGTTGTTCATGTTTCAGCAATTTCCGAAAGATCTCTAAAATTTCGCAGTTAACTTTATGAAAGTAAACTTCGGGATAATTAAGCTCCAAGAAACGACCCTCAAAATATTTTGAACACCTGCACTACTTATATGAACTGCATATTTTAAATTCTTTTCAGTAACCAACTACCTCCAAATAGAAGAGTTGCTAACAGTGATAATCAGTATGTCTTTTAGTGACAAACGAACCTTCCAATGCAATGTTTTTAACAACATACTTCACTAACCATGGCATTTCTCCTTCTCAATTATTCATCTTTGTTAGCTATAAGTTCTGGGTTTTATCCATTTAGTCGAGTAATAAGTAACATACCCGATCGAGAGTCGTTCTCCCCAACCAAGCTATCGAGTAGTTCAGATTGTTGTGCCATCTGTCGTGAACTTCTTTTTCTTCTGTTCTTTACCGTCAACAGCTTTCTTTCAGCACATTTCTTTCGGGCCGCTCCCCGCATTGCTGTACATCTTTCGTGGCCTGAAATTTACTCAGCATTATTAATTAAGTTCAGAGTACAACATCATCAACGTTACCGTAATGCAATTAATACTGCAGAGTTCACCGGCACAAAACACGGCCCCCCGGTCACCTTCGCACACCCTCACGCCTCTCGTCCGCACGCGCGCGCTCCCTATCCATTACAACCGCCTGCCTACAGAACCCAACAATATCTATGCCATCTGAGCTGCTACAGTCAGCAATGCGTTGCATGATGCAGCGGAAAATTGATTAAGGTTTTGGAAATCCTGAAATTGGTGGGGAAATGATGTATATGGTCCGAGATTTGCCGGAGTATTACTAAGAATTCTGTTAACGGTCATGCTCAACCAAATTGATAGTAAACACAAACAAATATTTAAGTATTGGACGGTTGGATGCAAAGGATGCAAAAAAAAGTACTAATGTCGCAGAGTTGAACGTAGATCTTCCCGCAAATGATTATCTGAAAAAATGAAGAATAAATAGGGGAAGAAAGATTATCTGTCAGTATATTAGTAATTGGATGATTAAGTTGTTGGGCAAGATATATGATATGAGTAGATATGTGACTTTTAAATAATAGATATAGTAAGGTTACATATTTAGCACTAGATATGGGAGAGTGAATGAAAAATAGAAATAGTGGATAGGTTATGGGAAAAAAGAAGGCCCGCTCAGTTCCAGCGAAGAGTAGAGGGAAATATGGCTTCGAGATATAAAAGCTTGGAAATTGAGGATAGAATACTTGAGACTGGAAATTAATTGATTTGTATTTGACTCAGTGATTAAAAAAAAACAATGGATGACTAAAGTGCAGAGTAACTTGCGGATTTCTCCTCATCTTTCTTAAGTCAAATAAAAGAACAAAGGTGAAAAATGGATTTTTTTAAAGTCTAATTTCAGTTTTCGCCTTTCCCGTGCTGTTTCTCAGTCATTATTTCTTGTTTGCTTTTTTGTTTGCCTTTGGATAAGTTCAACTGGTGTATATGCCACTACTGAAATGCTCGAAGGAAGAATTGAATCTTGGGGCAGTGCTGTTAAGCGGCCAATCATTCAGGTATTATTTTTAATTGTTTTCACTTTATTTCGCTGAATTTTCGGCACTTTTAACTTAATTTTTACAATTCCGAACAACGATGAAAAACATATTTTGTAAACACATCTGACTTTCGATGTACAATTAAAGCTCATTAAAAAAAAAGCTCATTAAAACCTCATTAAAATAAAAGCTCATTAAAATTTTTTGTATCTGGAACACGTGAAGTTTACTGGGAAGAAGGTAACTCCCATTCTGATAGCATCAGAAGTTCAAGCACTAATTGAAACAAGGAAGCCAAACACCGACACTGAAAAAGTCGGATCCATTGGTGATATCCCTCGAAAACAGTTTAAATCAGATTTGTTTTTTCCTTTCTAATCAAATTTATTTCTGTTTCAATATATACAGAGTGACAAACAAAACACAGTTGCATAACAGAGTTGGTTATTAAAGTCTTTTAACTTTTTTTTTTCAATTTTTAGATGGAAAAAATTGGTAACAAATGTTGATGAAAATATCGCTCCTTCATCAGATGACATATTTTTTGGTGTTGCTAAACATCGAGTGTGGAAAGTATGGCGAGAGAATGACGAACAGTTAGGCTACGAAGTACTAGCAAAGTTTTCAAAAGCTCGTGGCAAGGACTTGGATGTCCTCAAAGATTATTTCCAGGGCAGTTAGTTCATCGTTGATTAACTTTTTTTTTTAAAAAATTTCCTTTGCCGAAATAAAATTTTTCCTTAACCAAAATAGTCGTTATAGAAGATGTAACAGTTTAGATTTGATGGAAATTTCGAGATTATTTGTATTTGCGAATTGATGCCACATTGCAAAATGACTAATTAAAAATTACGATTTGAATGTAGTTTTTAAGTTCAAACTGTAACAATAAAAGTTGGATAAGGTTGATGCGGTCCGATAGAACTGCATGGAAGTAGACCTGTTTCGTTTGTGGCTGTATTTGTAAATAGTTTCAATTTAAAAAGTATTCTGTGAACGCGTACCTTTAATATTTTCTTGTTTATTTATTATAAGCGATGAATATGTGATATATTTTAGCTTGGTATCGAACTAATCCCACTATATAAGCTGTGGTCCGAAAATGACAAGCATTTCGCTCGTCTTTTGGCGAATCATCGGACGAAATTGGAAGGAATTCGTGTCCTTGGACAAGATCCTTTGGAAACTGTTTTTGCTTTCATTTGTTCTGCAAATAATCACATCCGACGTATCACAAGTACATTTTTATAATCTTACCGATTTGATTTTATGCTGACAAGACGATGATTGTGTGGTACTAATTCAAGTTTAGCTTCACTTTTCAAAAAACAACTCATGATGCAGTCAGAGGCAGTTAGACCAGCTTCTATATTTCATATAATTTTAAGTGCACTTGAAATAGATTTGTTTACGAGAGTCAGCGCTGCTTTTTTTTTCGAAAAAAAAAGTGTCGAAATGTTTCTGTTATTCCGTGAAAGTCATTATTTTATGAATTCAGATATGGTTGAGACACTGTGTGAGCTATATGGTGAAAGCACTAATGTTTCTTGTTTGAATGGCATTAAGACATTTTATGATTTTGCTGATCTAAAACGCATGACTGATGACCCTTCGTTAGAAACAGTTTTGCGAACTCGTGGTTTTGGTTATCGCGCACTGAACATTGCACTTGCCTCCAAAGCACTCGTGAGTTCAAACCCGTAATTAGCTCAATAGTGTTGAAGTAAACTCAGTCTTGAGATCACTAAACTTCTCAACTAGCTTTTTCGATTCTCATTTACTTCCATGAATTCTACACTATATGGACTGATGGTAATGTCTAATTATTATGATAGCAAGACAACGGGGAACAATTTCTGGAAAATTTGTCAAAGGGTACTTATGAAAATGCAGTGGAAGAACTTCAGCAAATGCGGGGAATTGGCGCGAAGGTGAGTATATTTACCTTGTTCAATTCATTCTATTTCGTTAATGATATTGGTGATTTAATGAAAAGGCATAGCTGGACTTGATTTTGCTGAGGCCCGTGCGAAAAAAAAAAGTCGGGTAGTGTGGTCGATTT